AGTTGAGTTTGATAGGTTTTGGATAATAATATAGATGTTACTTTTTAAATATATAATCTCATTCTCTGTCCAACTCTAGATACTGGAAAAATATAAAAACTTGAAATGAATTAGAAACTTACAAAACACCGTATATATAATCAAAACTTATTAAATAATATTTAACAAATGCTATTTGCTTCTTTCTCTTTGCAGCTGATCTAAACAGAAAAACTAAAGAATGAAAATTCTATTTTGCGCAAAACAGTAAATAGAAAGATGAAAGATTGACATAATTGATAAAGCTCGATCGCTTCATATATATCTGTGCTGCATATGTCAGAATAAAATATTTCAATGAAAATAATAGAATTTAAACAGTGATCTATATCAAGTCGCTCGCATGAGAGTACCGATCTATCAAATATATCAGATGCTAATAGACTAAACGATGGGAAAATACAATAAGTTCAAAAAAAAGATCATACTATACACTGGATAAAAATGAATAATCTGCGTAGAAAGAAGTAGTGACTGATATGAGGGGAAAAGAAAAATGATATTATCATTCAACGAATGTATGACTGATTGGGCGAATCACAGAAACGAACTAGTTAACTGAAATAGTACAAGAATAAAAAAACTAAACTGATGAGACCTACGAGGAAAAAAATGGAAAATACATTTGAACGAATTCATAAACGACTGGATCATTCAATTCGCTATTTGCGGACTTGAAATGCTTTCTCAGAGTCACTAAGCGGTAAAAATCAAAATTATTCCGAACCAGGATATTCGCTCCTTTCATATTTTAGCACTTCAAGCATCTGTTTTGTCACAGAACGAACACGAAAGTGAGGGTGAGAACGACAGAGTTGGTTACAATTAGAAACTTTGGGGTCCTAAAGTGTAAAAGTACCATATTTTCTATAAGTTATTCTTTTTATTTCTAATAATAATGTTAATTTTTTCTGATGAAACTCAACATCTCTGCGAAACATGTGCATATATATCATTTATCTCTCTGAGCGCCATCTATCAGTAATTTTGGAGATTGTAAAAGAGCGTCTAAGATTTATCCAAAAGAATCTTAATTAATAAGCAAAAAAAATTAATATTTTTGTGAAAAAATTATCTGACTAAAGTAATCTATAATTTTTTGTTTGCGTTCGGCTCAACTTTATTGTGATATTATAAGTTCATCAATTAGATATATAAAGGGCATTAAAGAAAGAGACATAGATAAATGTTTTCACGATACACTAGTTTGATTGTTGCAGAAGCAGAAGACAGAAAATTATGTATAGACAAAAAAGGCGACAACTAAAATGAAAGACCATGGTTATCATCTGTATTACTCGCAAATTATATTTGAAGAGAACGAAAGAAACTAATATTGTTAAAGTGCATCATTATTCGTTGAACGAATTTTATACATATTCGAGCTGTTATTTGGAGCAGAGTAACGAACATTTTTTGATGGCATATGCAAAAAATCAATAACTGAAGACAAATTGAGTCAAGTACTGTGAAGGCAATAAAAGACACGAGCTATTTCATTCTTTTCAAATCTAAACTCTTTGAATGAATTGAACACATTATAAAAATAATACTACCCAGGAGGATCATTCCGGTCGTCTGAAAGGCCATCGGAAACGGCCTGAAACGGCTATTACACGACATAAAATGCCATTAATTTTCACCCTATTTCGCCGCAATCCGTCAGCTCGTTTTACAGACCGTTTTTCTTTGCTAGAAAACGATCATCGCTTTTAACACTATTCTCTTTGTTTTCCGAGCTGACGGAAAACGGTGCCGTTTTTTAACGTTTTACATCGTTTTTATGCCGCTTCAGGCCGTTTACGGACCGTTTTCTCTCATCTGGGTAACTATGGATCATTAAAAGTTTTGTTAATAGTAAAAAAAGGCAGTGTATGCCGAATCTCTGTAAGGAAACAATTTAACTGAGTTGTTATCTCAACACAAATTCATCTATAGCTTTTCAAACTTAGTCAAGGATTTTTTTCAATTAGGTTAAACTCGGTCTAATCCATTTGCATTTGCTCTATTTGTTACGCAACTATTTCTTTCTTTCTTAAGCCCCTCCCCCCCGCTCAAAAAAGTCAATTTTCGTCAAAAATTCAGAAATTGAGATAAATACATGGGGAGATAGCCCATCATCTGCTCTTTCATAAACGATAATTTGTTTTTCTCGTTACTTCATTTTTCCCAAAAAATGTTCAAGATTTCCGTCAACCCCTATTCGAAAAACCAGCTGTTTTTGGAAAAATCGAAAAATGTTTTTCGTTTTTTCTCAGTTTATACTTTTTTGATCGTGTTTCCAAGAATTCTCTGTCCAGACTCATTGTATATATTTTATTTTATTTTTGTTCGAAAGAGCATGTCAAGCTGCGTCGCCTACCAGAGTCCTTTTTTTAAATTAAGCTTTACTTCTAGAATATATACAAATACTTGTGAAATAAACACCCATTTTTGGCGCGTTTTTTGAGTCATTGAACTTGTGATCCCTTTTCTCCGTTAAAAAAGTAAGAATAAAAAAAAAGGGCTCTGGCTGGCGATGCATCCTGACATGCTCTTTCAAACAAAAAAAATTAAGGATATAGCACGAGCCGGGACCGAGAAATTTGGGTCCCCAAATGAGCTATTTTTGACCCTTCTTTGGTGAATATCTCTCTTCAACGTCATGGTACAGGGCTGAAATTTTTACCATAGCCTCTCCACTACAGTCCTAACATACCGTAAAAATTTCAGTCAATTTGCATGTACCTGACCCGAGATAGGTTTTGGAGTGTGAGGGGGGCCTTAATATTAAAGTATACTCTAATACATAGTACTCATAACATTCATCTCTATAACGAGTCTATTTAGGGTGTGAGTGTGGGTGTTCTCTCGCTCTTAACCCACCCATATCAACTCATATACATACATCTACATCCATATCCACTCGCAATTACACCCTCACCCTTTTACGTGTTTTTTCAAGAGTCTTGTCTGACTGAGTGGTGCTTTTTACTGGAAGTACTGAGAAATGCTTAAATACAAGAAAATACACAGCACTTTTCAGCGATTTTCCGTGTAAGTGCTGTACAGTGCTTAGAGATAACAAAATTTTCACATGGGATGCTTGATGAGTCAAACTACCTGACATACATAATTTCTAAATATAATTGAAGCGATAGAACAGACAGGAAAAGACCGTTTATTCCTGTTTCATTTGTCGGTTGGTTACAGCATATTTCGATAATAAGAAAATCTTACAAGACGTTACAGAAAGTATTCCAGACGGAGAAATGTTCAGTCGAGTGAAGCTTTCAAGAAAGGAATTTGTTGATTCTGCACACCTTAAGCTCAAGCTATATAAAAAGTAGTTGGATTTTCAAAGTTAATCTTCGTGATTAAGAACACTTAGTTTCAGTATTACGAAAAGTTAAAATCTAAATTCGGATCCCACACCTCAGAAAACGTTCTGATGTGATTTTATGTGATATAACATGTCATTGGTAACCTTTGCTATCAATACTACTACAGTTTCATTGAAAACAAATAGCAGATTCAGATTCTCTATCCCTTAAAGCCATTCGATTAGGGTTTTGTTTGAGCAATCATGGAATAGTTCACAGCTGTAACATTGTTATTTTCTGATTGGTTGCACAGACAGATGAACATTTTTTCTCTGAAAGCCGATTTCTTTCAGACATGAAAAAAAGGAAAGCAGGAACAATTCCTTTGTCTAGAGTTTTCATTCGAGTTTTGATTATTTGTAATTTTACGTTTGACTAGATTTATTATTAAAATGGAAAGTATTGGTGAGAACGATATTGATCAGCAGTTGAAGATACTTGACGATGCAATCGAAAATAATCGAGAGATCGTGCTAGCGTTATTTATTCAACTAAAATCTTCAATTGACGAACTTGAACTGGAAGATGAAGAAAAATACAATGTGTATCGTTACCAATTTCATTTAAAAAAATCAAGTTATCTGAAAGCTGCTGGAGACTTGGTTGGAAGCAAAAAGGAAGAAAAGTTTATGGAGGCATATTTTGCCAAATGTCAAAAACAAGAGCAACAGCAAAATAATAATCAAGAACAACAAAAGACAGAAGAAACTCTTTTATTGTCAGTAGAATGTGATGTTCAGGCAAACATTTCGATAAAAAATGATATTGAAAAATGTTTAAACGATCTAAAATCATGTATCGACAATGAGCAAATGACGTACTTCAATGAATTAGAATCAACAATAAAAGAATTCACTGAATTATCTGTTAATTCACTGGATGAATATATTAAATTGGATACGATTCATTCGGTAATACAAACTACCGTGAATTCTTTGAAAACTCAAGCCCAAATGGATTTAGAAGAAACAGAAGGTCACAACAACATTTCATCTTTTTCAGTTTTAACTAGTTTAAGCTCGTGTTTGAAAGCTTTACAATACCAACGTAAAGTAAACTTTGCTTCTTTTGTTCTGTCCCAGAGACTCGAACTGCGTTCTATTTTGTTTGCCGGTATTCCATTGACAGAAGAACGAATTGAATCACAAACCAAAAAATTGTTTATTCTATTTCATCCTGATAAATGTGAATTTGAACAAAAACCAATATTCACACAGATTTTTCAACTAATTGCTGAAGATGCAAGCAAACAGTTGAAAGAACTGACTGAACATGCACATCGAACTAGTATCGTTGAATATCATGAAGCGAAGGGAAAAGAATATTGGGATGTTGCTATAGAATATAAATGTGCGCGAAAACGAGAATGGGATAAAGTAAAACAGTTAAAACGAGAAATATTGATGAATTTAACTGATAGAGAATTAGAATATCATCAATGCCAGTATGCAATTTGTGCATTTGAACAATATCGAGCTGCAGGAAGGCAATTTGAAGTAGAACAAAGTAGCCAACGGCTAATTGCCAAGAAAGTTGAGTTGAAAAAATACATGGCTCTTTCTCTATACCTTGCCGGATCAAGTAAAATGTTAGAAGCCCAAATATATGCCATTGCCGGTATTCATTTGGCAGTGACAAGTGGCAATGTATCTCTATGTAAAGATAATTTGGAAGCACTAGAGAAGCTCTTGCGAAAAACACATGGTGCAAACACACCGTTGTTCGCAATCCCAACCGACGCCACTGTAAATAAAGAAGAGTCGGGATTAAGTAAAGCTTTAGTAGCCTACAGCCGTGGTTCTGTTTCATTGAGCCAACTTGAAAGTGTTATTTCTTCAGAATTACGGATGACAATTCTCACTAAATGTTCACTTCGAGGTGAAGAGAGAAAAGTAGCTATACCAGAAGAATCTACTCTTCAAGTTCGTAAGAAAGGTCTAGAATTTATTGGTAAAGGAGCTGTGGGCATAGGGACCGGAGCAGTAGTTGCTGGAGGTATTATTGGTAAAGCCTGTCTTGATATATCGGCTGGTGCAGCAATTGGTACTCTTTTTGGAGGACCAATCGGGACAGTTCTCGGTATTGGTGTCGCCCTCACATCTGTAGTTGCTGGCGGAATATTAGGATATGGATTTTTTAAGAAAAGTCTACCTTATCTGAAAGAGCCTAAAATTCGTCAAAACCTAAACAAAATTATGAGCAACGTTTTAAACCATTACAAACGTGAAGAATATAGCGACGTTCTTTATTCGTTATCTGTTCCGTTTGCCTCTGATAGAAGGTTAATACATATTAGAGAAGTTGAAAGTGGTAAGACATTCAAAGTTTTGCTTGAAATTGAACCAACGTCTATTGTGCGAGAACTTTTGTATCACGACTTTCCACCAGAAGGAATAGCTTATTTTCTTGTTTTACTCGGCGAAGTTTTACTTCTTGGTCCTCAATTGAAACCGGAAAAAGAATTGTCTGCCAACATGTGTTTGGAGTTACCAGCCTATTCTGATTTCAATTATCTCGCAATCAAAGTATTTGAGGAGGTTTGGATCAATGAAGGATTGATAAAACGAGCAGAAGCAATCGATAAACAAATCAAGTCGAAAATATCGATTGCACGAAAAATTTGCATAGAATATGTTGCGACAAGTACATTAGCCTATGCATATTCGGTGTCAAGAGATTACATAAAAGACAGCTTAGTTAATCCAGTCATGGCTCGTCTTGAAGAGCTGAAAAATATTGCACAGATTAATTATGCCATTGCTCAAATGATAATTGGAGGAACAAGCAATTTTCAAAAAAGTGTGAATACGATTAAAGGAATCAGAGAAAAATCAATGAAAGAAAAAGAAGAGAAGAAAATGTTTCCCATGACAGAAATTCGTCTTCAAGCATTGACTGATCTTTTGGCTGCATTTGGTCATCCAGACAATTTACCATCTAATATAAATGATCCATTCTTTGGTAATTCAAATCTCCCTGAACTTGAAAGTTCAATTCTTCTTACAAATATCAACAAAGTTTTGATCAGCGATCAAATCGTTTCATATTGTGAACTAATTGTTTTATTTAATGATGACGACGCTGATGAATTTGTTTTGTTGGACAAAGTATTGGGTGAAATTTTGAAATTAGATAAAAGCAAATTTATCAATGATGTTTATCAAGCTTATATGGATGATGTTGAAACAATTAAGTCCTGGATGAAAGAGATAATAAGAAAAGAAATACATCTCGATATCAACGGGTGGCGAAATTCCTTTTTAGTAAAGAAGCATTCATTGACTTTGGAATATTTACCGATTTTGTCTAAAATGTATGATTTGATCTTTAAATTATGTATTGTTACATCCCATCGTGATTATAGTCATGTTTTCTTACCAACTGGAGAAGTATTTCACTTTTCCGAGGGTTCGACAACAGCTACTGTTTACATATTAATGGATAAAACTAACACTTCTAGAGATAATAGATTGATAAAAGGTATTTTTCGTAGTTGTGATATTCCGTTGAATTACATTTACAATCAGTTAGAATCTGTTCAAGATCCAAAATTAAAAGCTAATCTATTAAGTCAAATTGCGCTCCATCATCGGCGTCAAGCAGAAGAGATCGATAAAGTTCATCATTTAGAAGCCTTACCAAAATGGGATCGCGCGTTAAAGCTTTACATTGAATCACTCAAGTCCGATAAAAACAATTTAACAGCAATGCTGGGCTATGCAAAATGTTTGCTGATGTTAAATAGATACAAATTAGCTGAACATTATTTGATAGAAAACCGACAAAAAAATCCAGAATTTTTCAATTCAGCTGAAAGGTGGTTCTTGTTAGGCGTTTTACGACGTAAGCTACACAATTATGATGAAGCTATATTTGCTCTTAGAGAAGCACTCTCATTAGGGTATAGTAATATTGAAGCACAAAATGAATTAAACGTGGTATTAAAATTAAAACAGGAAACAATCATTGAACGTATTCAATTTTACAAACAAATGAATACGATTAATGCTGAATTTGACGGCGAAAAATACAACATTCTTTCTATTGATGGTGGTGGTATTAGAGGATTAATACCAGCTATATGGATTAGTGAACTTGAGCGAAGAACAGGGTTAAACAGCTGCTCGATGTTTCATATGATGGCTGGAACATCTACTGGCGCAATCATAGCAGCTGGTCTTTCGTTGCCAGACAAATACAATGTCAGAATACCGCGTTATAGAGCTGTGGATATTGTTGAACTCTACACTACCCATTCAAAGAAAGTCTTTTCCAATCAATGCTCGATGTTTGATATTTTAGGATCAAGCTGTAAATATACGGATAACGGACGAAAGACGCTGTTCGATCTATATTTTGAAAATACAAAACTTTCTCAAACGCTTACCGATCTTGTCATACCGGCAGTTCAATCCGGAAGTTCAGTTACAGATTTATTTCGACGAAGTGAGAGCCTTATTGATCCTAGCAGAAATTATAAACTCACTGATGTACTCATGTGTACAACAGCTGCTCCTACTTATTTTTCACCTTATAAACTTGAGAATTCAGTTTTTGTCGACGGTGGAGTTCAGGCTAATAATCCAGCATTGCTTGCCTATGCAGAAGCATGCCGTAATCGAACTAATCGTGATAATATGTTTATTCTATCACTCGGGACAGGCGATTATGTGCCTGACCCGTTGCATCCAAATGCTAGTCGAAATCTTTTATTCTGGTTAGCGAATAAAGATAGTGTATTAAAAGTCATTTTTGACGGTCCACAAAATAATATTGATTGTCAGCTGCATAATATGTTAGGTAATGAAAAATATCATCGATGGCAAGTCTGGCTCGAAGAGCCTATTGCACTTGATGATGTAAAAAAAGAAACATTGAACAATTTGATGGAACTTGCTCGCGCACATTTTGAAGAAATGGACGCTTCTGATAGTAATACTCGATTAGGCAAACTTATTGAACGGTTAAAAGATTCGTGTAATTAAATTACTTAGTTCCATCATTTGTTCATATTAAAATTTATAACATCAAAGGAAATTTGAATATTTTTCTGAATGTGAAGGTGTGTGTGATATGTATAAAGGAAGCGGCAGACAAAAAGAACGAGCTCTGGCAGATTAATCTACATTACTTGTAAACTTGAAATGTTATATTTATCTTCTCTTTTTTTGTGTTTTTGATTTTGATTTTCTGCTACATTTTTTATCGTTTTTGTCTTCTATACAAGTTTTCGTATTTTATCTCATTTAATTATTATCCATTTCAAAATAGAAAGCAACGGGTATTTTTCTAACAACTTTCGATGGAAAGCAGATACATACCTGGGTGTGGGTGTGTGTAGGGTGTGGGTGGGTGTGGATGTGTGTGTGAGTGTGGGGTGTGGGTGTGAGGGTGTGGGTGTGGATGTGGGTGGGTGTGTGTGTGAGTGTGAATGTGATGGTGTGGATGAGAAGTACCCCACATCCACACCCACCCTCAGAAAAAATAATAAAGCGCAACGCATCTTGTGTACATACAAGGAAAAAATCACAGATGAACAAGACACTATAAAATCAGTTTGCAAGTATCATTATTCACCTTTCGTTTTCAGTCATAAAAAATATCAACTAAAAAAATTACAAGTGGGTGATCAACGAAGAACTCTGTAAGGAATATATTGATTATCTTGAGACAAGATATCGTAACCATTATCAAAAATTGTTCGATTTCTTGACTTATTCTCCTAATCAATCGGTGGGTGGTCATCGTGCATTTCGTCTCAAAGGCGAAGAGTATCATGGTGTGGGTGTGGGATACTTCTCATTCACACCAACTCCCACAACTATTCCCGCCCTCGCATCCACACCTACATCCACATTCATACCCACACCCACACTCTTGTCTCGTAAAAGCTTTACTTCTACGTGATCCGGGTTTGCAGAATAACTGTGATCACCATTAATACATATCAAGTCATCTGTAATACTTGTGTGTATGTATACCCCATAACCTTGTTCAACACAGAACCAATATATTTTTGGTGCTGTTGTTTAATTACACCTGAATAAGTAGCTCTTATGTATTATTAATCGAATACCTTTGTTGGATGTGACGAACGACATCTCAAATTACTGAGTTTTAATTGAACTGCTGTCAAAAGCTGAGTTTAAGTCCATTTTGACGATATATAGGTATTTAATGTTAGAAAATTTCCTTTATATAATGCCGAATAAAATGTGCTGCTCTGAGAGTGACCAATAAAAAAAGAACAGCTGAACTGTGTTGCTGACATCTTTACAAATATTCGATATTTTTTCGTTTTCTTTTATTTCGACGTTATCTTCTTCGACATTTTTCTTTTTGTGTTTTTTTTTGACATTGTTTCCTTTCGATGTTTTTCTCCGTTTCCCGCCAACACCAAAATATAAGTGTCGGTTTTCTTTAACCTGGTACTGCTAAATTTAAAAATTTTGTTATCTCTCTCTTCCCTAAACCATTGAATGCGCGTCTATCTACAGCTATAGCTTCTATGACAGCTTTGTCCAATTGCTTTTTGTGTTTTATTGAGATTAATGCCACTTTCTTCTGACTTGCAATTGTGATGAATATAAAAGCTGTTGTAGATTATGAACATTGCCTAAATATCGTGCCAGATTTGTATTTGAAAAGTCGTTCAGCTTAAAAGCTTAAAACATGCAAAATGTTAATAAACAAGCATATACAAAAAGGATAAAATTCTTTGTATCAGAAGTATAAAGCTGAGAAAATAACTTTTAAACAAATGCATTTTCATGTAGTATTCTTAAATATTCTTATTCATTTAGATCCCTTTTCAAATGTGAAAGGCATATAATATCATTATTTTTCCTTGCTTATGTATTTTCTTTTATAGCGTATACTCTCAGCAGTTACCACTACAATGGCAGAAAATCATGTTCGAGACCAGTCAAAAATGTCTTTGAAACTTATTAAAGAAATGAGAGTGAGTTGTTTCATAAATACTTCTTTCCTTCTTGAGTACCTGGTGTTGAAGGGCGTTCTGTTACACTATCTTCATTTTTCGAAGAATGCTGTGAAGAAAGCGCAACAGGTGAAATAAAAATATTATAATAAAAACTGCAAAGCAAAAGATTGTGAACATAAAATTGCATTATGTTTCAGTTTTCTCTTTTTCTTTTTGATAATCAAACTAAAAAGCACTGTAGCGTGTGATAAAATAGTTTTCATCGTTTGTCTTCTTTCTCACTGTGTTATTTCTATTAAAATGTGAATTTCAAATTATCAGAGCGTTAACACCTAAAAGAACAATAAAATTAATGTGGCAATAGAAATTAAAATTCAGTAAAATAAAAATCTCTAACAGTTGAAATTAAATTCCTTTTTCTGCTTGGAAAAAATTAAAATAAGAGACACCAGTAAGTTGCACTAGTGAGCATCGAAATTCTTATCTTACTATAGGAGAAATTCAAATTCTTCTAGAATCTTGTATTATGAAAGTTTTTTAATTTCTAGTGTATTAGAAATTAAAATAAAGGTTTAGATGGATGATGATATATGCAAACATGCCCATTATTTACTGGTAAAATAGATATCAGCACAAGGAATCGCTGGATGTATCAAAGAGTTTACATCTATATATTTTAGTACCCTTTCTTTTAAGCAGAATGACATTTTGTACCATCGGATTCTGTAGCTGCTTTGCAAAGACATTATTTTTGTAGCACAGTCAACACAGCAAGCACAAGCTTCTACATTTATTCAAGTTTGTAAAGATTATTTTGGTAGTGGGATTAATCCAGCTGTAAAAGTTTGTGTTGGTAATGTTGGTTGTATTACAAACAATGTCCATGTACAGCAACCAGAGTACCATGAGGTACAAAATAACATCTTCCCAGGTCGAACAAACACGCTCGTTTACAGGCATAATATACGAGCTCCGTAATCGTCGACCTGGGTTTCTAATAAGAAATATTGTTCAAATTTGTGTGCCCGTATATGTGCAAGACAAATTAAAATCCAGGAAAATTTAGAATTTTCTTGAGACTAATTGAAATTTCAACTTGTTCTAGTAAAACTTTTGAATCTTCTTCAATTTTAATTTCTCCTACAACATATATAGCATCGTCCGTCTAAACCTGTATGTTAATTTCTACTGCAGTAGAAATTAAAATACTTCTATAATAAAAGTTTCTAGTAAAATTTAACATTCTCCTCTAGTAGAGATTAAAAGTTCGATGTTCACTAAAGTAAAGTGATGTCGCCTGCTATTTTAATTTTTCCTAATAGAATTTTAATTTATACTGTAACAAAATTATACAAAAGGAGGGTGAGTTAGAAGTAGTTTTTATCTAGTTAGTTTTTAATTCTTTGTTTTTACTAGAAAAGTTCAAATAGCGATTTCTTTAATTTTCTAAAAAGATATTGAGAACGATAAATGTTTATTTTTCTGTCTGTAGACGTAATACAATTGAGTAAAATAGATAAAGTAGGAGTTGATTTACTTTGCAAGAATCTTGGCATAAGATACATTTAATATTACCATTCATAAAAGTAAAATAAGACGAAGCATGTTTTTTTTTTAATTTCACCTTGTGTGACTTCAGTTGTATCACTTGCTGTAGAATCCACTCATGGTCGTGGTTGTATTTCTTCATTATCACTATCATTGTAGGTAGTCTTTTCATTATCATCATCTGAGTTCGAACGTTCATCAGTATCGATTTGTGATGTTTTCTTCATCATTATTATTAACGATAAATTGTTATTTTCCTTTTTTGGTCATCTAGCTTGATTTGATCTTTTTTTCTGTAGTTTCTCTTTCTGAGCAGGAGAAAGCTGAGCATTGACAATGCATTGCTCCTTGATGAATAACGAAGTAACAATACTGAACTGAAATGGTCTGAAGAAGACCTTCCTAAATTTGCAGAAGTCAAGTTAGAAAATGGATGAGAATCCATTTATTTCGTTTTATATTTAAATTAGTCACGATGAAGAAAGTATAGAAACAGCAGTTTAGTTTCATTAAATGAAAATTAACGGTGGAATGCTTTTCCCTTTTTTCGCTTTCTCTCAATTCCTACCCTGAACAGAAGAGCAAACAGTAGTTATTCCAATGCAATGGCAAACTCATTCATGTGTGCTACTTTTCTCACTATTCAGATTTATTTTTCTTTCCAATAAGAGAAACATTATATTTGTACTGATTACATAGCGCATACGTCATATATGAACATATAACATGTCGTTCAAACCCTTGAAAAGTTCGTTAATTACTTCGAGGTTGAATGAAATTTACTTGACACACTGACACAGAAAGAAAAGAAAATTATTCGATTTATCGCATTTCTTTCATTGACAAACATCGAAAACTGATTCAAGATCTGAAATATAACAATGATTAAAAAAATCGAAACTGTTTCAACTCATATAAACCCTGAAAAAAGCTTGGTTTCTGTAACTACTGTCTTACGAAAATCCTATATCTGTTATTTGTGATAGTCTCTTGAGTATATCATGTTCGTTAATTCCATGAATATTTCTGAGGATCAAATTTATATATTCACATTCGACGTGCAATAAATGGTAATTTCCAATAATTCAAAATCATTTTTTATAGAAAAAAAATTCCTCCCTTTTCTTCCATATGGTCGATTTGATGGAACTCAAATTCGCGTTTAACTAATTTGATCAAATTAAGATCGGCGTATGTTTTTACTCTTCAAAATCTTCTTCTTGCAAAATTCAGTAGCCTTTAAAAACTTAGTAACATTGAAAAAAAACGTTTTTTCACGGTGTTTCCAGTACGTTGGGGTGTGAATGTAGGTGCCAATGTAGGCGTCTGAGTCCTCTCAAAACTCGCACAAACAGCGAACGCCCACACCCTGATGAAGATTTATCTGACTTCAAAATTTCAGTATTTTTCGTCGTGCTGTTACCGAGAAACCTTGAAAAGGGACGGAGCAAGGGTTCTTATTATTTTTTCTTGTTTTAAGAAATAATTGAAAAA